TATATGCAAAATCTACAAATGCATAAATCCCACATTGATATGTGACTGTGGGTGGTGCGTTCACATAGAATAGAAGCGTACATATGTACGTTTATGTAAATGATATTTATTTTATACCACAGAAATATCAAATTTATTTTCATTCTTTGTTCCTCTGGTGTTTGATAACAATAACAACAACAACAATAATAATATTAAGCACAGGGGAGCTACCAGTCACATCCATACATACATACATCCATACGTCCATATGTATCTTTGAAGTTTTCAATCTCCCATCTCATCATCATTGCAAAATGGACAAATTTTAGGCTTCGTGGCTCATCCCATTTTATAGAAATTTTGTAGCACTGCCTCTTTGTCTATGACAGAATACCATGCGAGCTACTCAACTTGTCATGTTGTGTGTATTGGAGGGCTAAGCATGTGTGCGTATTAGAACCCAAGTACAGTACAGAAAACGACTGGCAAGGCAGTTCGGTATATCCTTTGGGGTACAAATATCACATTTAATGAATGTGTCTCTACTATATTTTGGATCAGTTTTTTCACACACACACACACACACATTACGACCAGGAAGAAGCAACGGGGAGAAGACATATAAAACAGTCCGTCTGCCTTTTTGTTTGTGTGTAAATGAGTGTGTTGTCTTCAACATTTGGTGATTTAATTAAGAATTTATTTTTTGTTTTTGTTCCCAAACAAATTGGGAAACCATAAATAAGAAATGAATATCCTTGCGTATGGATTTATATACCAAACGATTCTAGGCTTCGAAACAAAAAACCATAACAAAGAAGAAATGAAAAAGTCTCCAAAGCAGAAAATCAATAGTTGTTTATCATAACCTCTGCACAATTTTAAAAATAGTGTAGTTTTCTTTTTATGACATTTATCATTTAATCCCAAGGATAGGAAAAGGTCACACCACCATCTCTCAAAAGGGCTATAAATACTTTGAGAATATCCTTGCAATTAGGAGGCATTGTTTATTCAGAAAACTACCAAGCGTCATGGTTGTGATTCCAGAGGGAATGCAATAGAAGTTCGTAAAAAACTGACAAGGACATTCGTAGTGTGTTGTCGTTTTTTATACCCTCCCTCTTGATCAGCATAAAATTCTATGTCGATTTAGCGATGTCCGTCCGTCTGTCCGTCTGTGGAAATCACTCTAGCTTCCGAACGAAATGAAGTAGGTTGATAAAATTTTACTCAAATGCATATTATGTCTGCAGGACTTTTGGTATTGAAAATGGGACATGTAGGTCCACGTTTTGGTATAGCTCCTACATAATGGTACCTTCCTATTTGCGGCATTTTGGTGATTTATGCAACATTATTCACTGGACTTGTTTCAAATTTGGATTTTGAAGTTCGTAATGGACACTACAGACTATAACAGAAAATTGTCTTTGCAGGTCCACGTCTTCGTATAGTCCTCATGTAAGGGTACCTGCCGATATTCAGTATTTTGATGATTTTAGCGACATTATTCACCGGAATTGTTTCAATTTTGATATTTGAAGTTCGTAATGGATACTACAACCTATGACAGAAAATTGTCTGTGCAGGTCCACGTCTTCGTATAGCCCCCATATAACGATATCTCCCGATATTCAGTATTTTGATGATCTTAGCGACATTATTAACCGAAATTATTTCAAATTTGGTATTTATAGTTGGTCATGGATACTTCAGCCTAAGACAGAAAATTGTCTGTGCAGGTCCACGTCTTCGTATAGCCCTCATATAACGGTACCTCCCGATATTCGGTATTTTGATGATTTTAGCGATATTATTCACCGAATGTTTTTTTCAAGTTTCGCATAGTAATGGCTTATGACAAAAGTTGCCTTCGCAGGTCCACGTCGTCGTATACATACGGCTACATCCAGTATTTTTAAGATTTTAACAGAGTTTTTTTTAACAGATTTAATTTTTTTTTAAATTGCCAAATTCGTTCCGAATGGTGGAGGGTATATAATTTGTAAATATTTGTCCTGAGCAATTTTTGAATATTTAGGGGAGAGGGAGGAGGAGATAAAAGAGTTTAATCCTCTCTTCTCAAAATAAACTCAAATATCTTAAAGGCAATATTTCAGCGTCTAGCTGAACTTCATATATCAATTGGTAAACAATTCTGACAAAATATTGAATAAACCGTTATATGGGGGCTACCCGATATCGTGAACCGATATAGACGACATTGGTTCTCAAACATGACATGCCTGCAGAACAAAATCTCTGATCTCTGTGTTGAATCTAATCTTCCTATCGCAAGTCGTTTGGACTCTAGCGTAATTACAACATAAGAAGAGAAAGACGGGCATAGATATAATATTGAGAGGATCAGGTGCGTAGGCATGTGATAAGACTGCCTTTTCTGTAAATACGTACTAAAAGGGTACGAAGAGTACTAACATATACGAAAAATAGCACACTTTGTATTAGACAAACGGAATGAACTAGAATTTGGATGCATTTTGGAATGAGAGTCATTGATGGAGTGCAGTAAGAGTTTTTGGAAAATTCCCACTTTAAAGTTCTAAAAAGGTAATAAACTTCTAAAATGGTACCATTTAAGATTATATGAACGGATAGAGCCAAAAACATGATATTTGGTTTTGAATCATGGTTGGAAAACAAGTTTGATATATTAAGGTGGTTTTGGAAATTTGTACTAAGTGTACGAATTGTACTAAATTTGCAATACATTGGTTTAGGGCAAACGGATGAAGCTGAAATTTTTAAATTTTGTATTGGGGTTCCTGTTGATGGTAGGTTTGTGATTGGAAGTGATTTTGGAAATGGGTACTGATAGTACCACGAAAAGTACAAAATATTACTATATTTGGTACAATTTGTTGTTTGGTAAACAAATAGTGCTTTTGATCTGAATTATGGTATTGGGGTCGCTGATTGTGTGTAGCCTGGACATATGGAACTGGTTTCGGAAATGTGTACTATTATTGTACGAAAAGTACTAAGTGGTACTAAATTCGATATTGGGTGAAGGGATAAAGATAAAATTCTCGAATTTGATATTTAGATAACTGCTGGTATCTAAAGTTGAGATTTGGAGGTGCATTTGGAAATCCATCCTATATTTGTACGAAAAGTACTAAATGGAACTAAATTTGGTAGTAGGTGAAGCGATAGGGCTGGAATCCACAAATTTGATATTTAGGTATCTGTTGGTATCTGCAGTTAAGATATGAAGATGGTTTGTAAATGTGTACGACAATTGTATGAAATATACTAAATTTGGTATTCGGTGAAGGAATAGAGCTGGAATCCCGAAATTTTATATTGAGGTCTCAGTTGGTATCTGGGTAGTTTTAGAAATGGATACTACAAGTGCACGAAAAGTACTAGATAGTACCATACTTGGTGGTTTCGGAAATGTGTACTATAATTGTACGAATAGTGCTAAATGGTACTAAATTTCATATTGGGTTATTTTGGGATAGAGATAAAATTCTGAAATTCGAATTTCAGATAACTATTGGTCTCTGAGATTTGAAGATGCGCTTGGAAATGCGTTTTATATTTCTACGAAATGTACTAAATGGTACTATATTTGGTATTGGGTGAAGGAATAAATCTTAAATCCCAAAATTTGATATTGAGTTCTCGGTTGGTATCAGGAATTTAAATATGGATGAAATAATACTAAATTTGGTATTCGGTGAAGTATTGCAAATGTGTACTACAATAGTACGAAAAGTACAAAATAGTACTACATTTGGTATTGGATCTTAATAGAGCTAAAATTATGAAATTTAATGTAGATGTCACTGTTGGTGGTCTGTGGGATATTCGAAATGTGTACTATAATTGTATGAATAGTACTAAATTTGGTACTGGGTGAATGGAAAGATCTGGAATTCCGATATTTGTTATTGAGGTCTTTGTTGGTATCAGTGATTGAGATATGGAGATTGTTTTGAAAATGCGTACTTTAACTGTACGAAAAGAACTAAATGCTACAAAATTTCACAATTTCACCCAATGGTGAAGGGATAGAGCTGAAATCCTGAAATTTGATATGGATGTTACTGTTGGTGTGTGGAGTTGCGAGAAGGAAGTGGTTTTGGAAATGTGTACTACATACAATTCTGAAATTTGATATTGAGGTCACTGTTGATTTCAAGGGTTTACATTTGGAGACGTTGAAATAATTTTGGACATAAAAATTAGATGTGGATCCATTTTGCAATGGTTTTACTATTTTGAAAACTTTTTTGTTTCACCTTTTATTATTCTTTCCAAAAAAGCAAAAGCTTGAATATGTAAAACCTCGAAAATCTGAAATCTTAGTACGATGTATGAAGTTTTGTATTTGTGTCAAACTAGACAAATTATGCATTTTGAGTACTAAAAAGGTCTAACACGAACTGTTGGAATGAATCTGGTTTTGTATAGAATATAGTTTAGCGCCTAAAACTATGCTATAAAGAGAGCAAAGTATAAATGTGAAAATTACGCTTTACATATGACTCGAACACGATATGTAGCCTTTAGTTAGCGATAAAAAATAATGTGGCCTATGTATGTGTATTTTTTCTGTACAAGATTTCGCGGCTTCTGTTCTCATATTAGACACGGATACCTAGTGGACAAATGATTTTAACTAATATCAAATGGCCTTTGAATTACCTAACATTTTGATGGAGATTTCAAAAAGGTCATAAAACAGAAATATATAAATTTAAACTTAAACGAAACTTAAATTTAACGAAATTAAATCTTAGTTTTGACGTTGAGCGAGAAAATACTAGGTGTACAAAGCCTTTTCGAGAAAATTGACTAGTTGCTGAACTTTTTCTTGGGCCACCCTGAAATAGGACTAAAAATAGCATATTGGTGTGCAATTCCAATCCTACCAGAACAACCGTTTGCAGTACCACAACGTAAAATGTCATGGGTAATACGTACATGGACAAGAATTTAATAATAATAATGATAATGGAAAAAATAACCACACACACACTTACCTGACAGAATTTAATAAAGTTCTCCACAATTATCGATTTATCGTTGAGTGTCATTTGACCGGTAAAACGTACACCCAACTGTTTGAGATTCTCTTTCTTCTTGGTTGGCAATTTGTTCATGTGCTGGAATATGCCCTCCTCCACTTTGTGCGAGGGATGCGCTTCGAAATTCTCAACAATGGTGAATGTGGCCAAAGGTTTGGGCGCCGCAGGTGAGGCGGCTGCGGCATCGGGATTGCCCGATGATGATGATGTTGTGGAGGAGCCTGCGCCGGCACCACCAACACCCAGCATAGAAAAGTCACTGTGACCTTGAGTGTTGCCCCCACCCTCGGAGGAAGTATTCGAATTGGAAGCATTCAAATGGGAATTGGGATACGTCAGCGAGGATAACTCCATGGAAGATTCATTGGAATTGGAACTGTGGGCCGAATTCATGTGATGCATATCGTACAGCATATGTTTGGAATCATGATCGTAGACATCCACTGCCATGGGTGTGGGTGGATGATGATTACTTGTCGAATTGCTGTTGCTGCTGTTCGAGTTACTGCTGTTGGCGGGAGTTTTGCGCGAGGAACGTGAAACTTTATGGGGTGTCGTATCCAAATCGATAAGACTGGAATTGTTGGCATTTAGGGATGGTTCAGGTTTGGTGCCAATGGCTGTTGGTCCAGGACCGCCAACGGCACCACTGGAAGCATTGCCATTATGTGGCTGATGATGATGATGAGGGTGGGAGGACAAACGCTGATTTGGGTCATGGGCATTGGTTTCATTGTATTCGTTGGAGTGACGTAAATACTTCATAAATTCAAAGGAACCATCAAAGTGTTGTTGCTGTTGCTGATGTCCAGTCGAGCCGGTAGTAGCTGCCCCGCCATGATGTGGCCCATTTGCTGGGGCATGGGGAGTCCATCTTTGTTGATGTTGTTGTAGATGCATTAAGGGATGTGTAGATGAATTACCCACGCCATGGGGAGCATGCATACTGGCATGGGCCTGTTGCGGATGCTGCTGTTGTTGCTGATAGCTGCCTCCGGCATAATGTTGTCCAGGTTGCGGCTGAGTATTTTCCAAATTCGAATTATTATCATCGGTAGCCACATCTGTGCCATTCATGTGATAATGTGGCTGGGGCTGTTGTTGTTGCTGGTATTGTTGTGGCGAACTATTGTTGTAAACTTGAAAATCCTCAAATGAGGAAAATCTCAACTCGCCATTGCTTAGGTATTTTGAAAATTCCGATGGATCATTGAGGGAATTCAGGAAGAATGAGCTGAAATTACTAGAGATGCAGGACATTTTGAGGGATAAAGATACGAATACAAACAAAAAGACAGAAAAAACGAAATCCGCAAGCTTTTTCTTCTTGTTGTTGCTATTTGATGACCCACACAAGCTGTTGGCTTACAGGTGGTGGTTGGTGGTGGTGATGCGATGGTAGTGACGGCGGCGGCTCTTGTTTGTGTTTACCAAGGTCGCTTTGCCTTAGTCTGTCTGTCTGCCCGTCTGACTTGTGTGTTCGAGTTTTTTTTACGCTTTTGGCCCACAAACGTTTGGGAAACACCAATGACGTTGTAACCGCGTGAAGCTTTGTTTTGATATTGTCGTGTTGTTGTTTCTCTCCTCTGTTTATTTCAACTTCCTTCTTTGCACAATTTCACACACAGCCAAACTGACAAGCAAGCAAGTGCCTGATGATATCCTCCTCTAGTGTGGTAGCTACTGTTTGTTGTTGGTTTGCCAGTCTGCTTGGTTGAGTGTGGCAGTCAGTTTCTCTGTTGTTCTCTGTTTAGCTTGTTTTGTGCTTCTTTTTTTTTTTTTTTGTATGTGGGTTAGTGAGTTCTTAAATGCTGCTTTTTTGTTGGCAGATTTTCTTCTTATTTTGCTTTCAAGCTGAGTGTTGATGTCTCGTTTGGTAAATGTTCACACAGATTACACACATAGACATATACACAGTATGGGATGGAGGCATATAAATGTTTTTTTTTTCAGGTTCCGTCTTCAATGCTGATCCGGAAGGACAGACAATCACACACAAATCCACATGTTAAAGAATTTCAAATCACAACTAACTTAACAAAACACACTCCACAGTCCAAATCAAAAAAAAAAAAAAAAAGAACACAGTACGATTTGGCCCTTCCTCTCTTTGGGACAAAACAATGGGGATTGACTGACTACGTCACACAACAGGAAAAGACCTAACGCACACGAACACCTAACGAACGAATGGAAAGACCACGAAAACCGTACACAACTCGATTGTGTGTGTTTGTTTCATGTGTTAAAGGGTAGTCGTGGTTGTTGTAGTTGTTGCTGCCGCCGAAGGAGTCACGACACACAGTACCGAAGCTGTTATGTGTTAAACGAATCAAGCCAGACGGTTCAAACATGCACACGCACAAATCTATGGTGTGTGTGTGTGGGGTTGGTTTTTTTCTTTTTGTTTTCTCTTCTCACTTTACTCTCTGTGTTCATGTGGGGGGTCTATGACTTTTCTCTCGGCTGGCGTTGTAACAATGTAATGTGTTGCTATTCGAGGTTGTAAAGAAATGTCGTTTCACTGGGTGTAGTCGTCGTCAGTAGCCCTTGTTGTTGTATTATCTCCACTGCAAGAATGACGAACGAGGATGATGGCGATGATGATGATGATGTCAACAGCAATAACAATGGTTGGTGATGGTGTTAAAAACACTCTCGCTTTTTTTGCCAAGTCCAAGTCTTCTTGGTTGGGGGGACGCTCTTTTTGTCGTTGATAAACAACAGCTCAACAGCTGTTAGGTGAGTAGCAGTTGTTTTTGTTGTTGATGTTTACAGTTGTCAGAGTGATTTGCGGTGATGAGTATGAAGCAACAAACACACAGAATAAATAGCTCTATGTTGATGGTGGTGGTTGTGTTGTTGTTGTTGGCGGCGGCGTTAATGCTCCGAGTTCAGATGATGGCGTTGGCAAAGTGATGTTGGGGGGGGTTATGTGTTAATAATACTGTTATGAATACAATGTTTACACTTTGTCAAATTTGTTGGTTTTGTTTTTTTTCTTTTTTGCTGTTTTGCCGTAAGTGAGAGAAGCTGTGATGAGTTCTCTTTTCTTTCTCTTGTTATTTTTTTTTTTCGAGGGGGTTTGCTGCTTGTTCTCGTTACTGGTGTTATAATTTTGACACCTTTGTCTCAGTTAAGTAGTTAAGTTTTTTTTTGTAGTTAGATTAACGATTTTCCTTTGTTTTGCTTTATGTTTTTTTATATTTAATTTTCTTTAATATTAAAATAAATATATGTTGGTAGGTATATATTTTTTATAAATAATTTTTGTTAAAGCTTTTATGTTTTGTTTTTTTTTTCTTTAGGAATATGTAGGTATATAATATGTGATTTATATTTATTTTTTGTTATACCTAAATCTTTAATTTTAGTTTTTTTTTTTCAATTATGGCACATAAATTGTTGTTGTTAATTTTTACTTGGGTTTATTCTTACAATAAATAATGCATTGGAAAAATACTTGATTTTTAGCTTCTTGTTTTGTTTTTGTGTGTTTATTAGTTCCTTATAGGTAGTTATCTATTAGCATTTTTTACATAGTTTTCAGTTTTGTTTCTTCTCTTTATACGCGTTCCACACCTGTGTAATAATTTATTCGCATTTTTCTTGTTGTAATAAAAAAGTGTAAAGAAGAAAATTGCACTCTTTCTTTTTGTAATTTATTTGCTAGTTAGTAGTTGTTGTTGTTTGTTTGGCTTTATTAAATTTACTTTTCTTTCTTTGTTTTTGTCTGGCTTTAATTTTGTTGTTGCTGCATTTTATATCCGCTGCCGTTGATTTTGTTTATCTTTTCTGAAAATATAAATAAAAAAAGAACAAAAAAATATATTACTTTTAATTTCGTACCATATTTCTTTGTTATTGCTGTTTTAATTTAATTTAAATCAATGCCAGCGTCAATATTATGTTTTTTTTTTTTTTTTTTTTTTTTCAAAGAGGTCAAATTAATAATGGGGGATACATTCGTACATATGTAGAGCGTCATATTCATGTTTAAAATAAAATAAGAAAACACAACATCACATAAAAACAACGAAACTTTTGCAAATTCTGGAACGAACTGGTTCATAGGAAAGATTCTGTCAAATGAACAATGTAAACTAGGTTGGTATATCCATGACACAACCAGAAAGGTAGTTTAACTTCAAAGGAGATACTAAAAATGCAACTCTGTAGTAGATGCTTATTGTGTCCAATAAATTTAAAATGAAATAAACAAACATCCCTGTAGGAAAGCAGGTGTTATTTGTCGCCATGGCATGTCAGTTTTATACCAAAATGCAGGGGGAGATGAAAAAACTACAACCAACTTCAGACTGCTGTCATTTCTAAGCCATTCGTCCGACAGCTGTTAAAACTATTCCAGTGACAGCTCATAATATTGTTTACAAGTGTACAAAAGAATTTTGGTTAGAATTTTCCAGAAAAAAAGTTATTCGCGATGGAATTCAAGCGTGATAGTGTGATTTCTTTATATTTGGCAGGAAAACCACAAGTGGCTATCGTTAAATTTAAATGGGAATGAATCTTTTGTATCTTGTACCATCGCTCGCTACAGTGATACTACTGGTAGCGTAGCCCGACTTCAAGGAAGTGGACGGAAGAAAACAGCAACATCAGCAGAAATGGTTCGAGAAGTAAAGAAGCGACTTGATCGAAACCCGCGTCGCAGTGGCCGAAAAATGGCTCGCGAGCTGAATATATCGAAATATTCCATTCGGCAAATATTGAAAAATGAGCTCGCCATTGAAATTCCAAAAAGTGCAAGAACTTACACCGCTACAGAAAGAAAATAGACTCAAAAGAGTTGCTTCGCTTGACCGGAAGTGCTGAACTGCCGAATTTGGTTCTCTCCGATGAGAAAACATTCGTTGTCCAGCAGTTTGTAAACAAACAAAATGATCGTGTTTACTTGCCAAAGAGGTCAGCTGAAAATGTGCACCTTCGGTTGGCCACCATAACTTAAGCACCGGCCGTGGTGATCGTGTGGGCCGCCATAACAGCCGATGGTCGCTCTCTGCTCGTATTAATCGACCGTGGCATCAGAATAAATGCCGAATATTTTCGCGAAAATATTCTGGAGGGTGTATTAAAGCCTTGACCGCAGACTTTGCACATTCCAACAGGACACAGCACCATCGCGCTTAGCACGCGCCACCCAAGAGTGGTTACAAAATGAGGTTCCTCCCTTCATTTCCAGCCATTTCATGGCCACCAAAATCTCCGGATACCAATCCATTGGACTATTGTGTCTGAAGTATTTTGGAAAGCAAGGTTTGGCCCGGAAATGGTCCAAAATACCGTTTGAAGGCCATAATTCGTGCCAAAGGTGACCAATCCGAACAAATCTAAACTTATTCTAAAATTTGATGGTTTCATTCATTCATTTAAAAAAAAAATTAAAAATTATGGCGTTTGACTTTGTTGCAGTTTTTTTTTTTTTTTATCTCACCCATAGACCCATAGTTACTTTTGAGGATCCTCATAGAATCACTTCCTGAATCGAATTATGCATGACAGTGCGTCGCGTTTATTACTCGATTAAAATAAAATTTTTATAAACAATATTTGTTTGACCCAAGGACGAACCCTATTGAAATTGATGAGAATAGGTTCAAATTTGGACATAGCTCCCATATATATCTTCAACCGATTGTGCACCAAATGACCTGAATTTTGGTACATCCGACCAAATTCAGTCTAGAAGCAAGTACATCAAATCGGTTCAGATATAGCAATAGCTCCCATATATATGTTTCGTCCGATTTGGTGTTTAAGTCCCTCACATTCGTAATAGGCATTCGACAACAATAGTATTTGCTAAATTTTATTGAGATCGGCTAAGATTTGGATATAGCATATAATGGCTAATACCAGCCAAAAAGGAGTGAATTTCGGGACGTACGTTTCCATTTTGTGGAACTCGGCTCCGATATATATTTATTAATATCCTTCTCGAAGTGATATCATGCACTCTATAGCAATGTTATTTGATATAAAAAATTAAAGTGTCACCGTCAAATTTAGTATATTACCAATATATTACCAAACTATAACTACTCTAAAGCCAAAGGTTGATAGGTGGTATGATCTACTTCAAATGAATACGTTTGTTACGGCAGCTATACTAAATACGCATAGTGGTGAACGGTATCATATAGTCGGCCCCGCCCGACTCTTGACTTTTCCTTACTGGTTGTATGATTATAGAAGTTGGCCTAGTTTGCTTGCAGGAATATTTTTGTTTTAAGGAAGAGACATTTATTATATACCTTCCGGCCCTTTTTGCAAATGTTTTTAATAAAATATTAAAATACATAATTGAGTATACCAACAATTTCTTCTAAATCTTATAAAAGGAAAAAATAAAAACTAAAAAAGCCATAAAATTGACTTGCAGTAATGCACAACCACATACATAAGTACGTGCGTATGTATTTTGTGTGCATCTTCATTCCTGCAAAATTTGTTTCGTTCTTTTTATTACTTTCTATAAATGAAATATGTTTTTTTGTAAACTTTTTTATCTTAAAATCTTTTAGCGTACATAGAGGAAACTGCGATAACTGAATTGAAAACGAAGAAAAAAATTATAATTTATTATTCGTTTTTATTTGTGGCATTGCTAGCCCGGCTGGCTTTTTGGTTGATCATATTAAATTTTATTACATATACGTAGCACTAGTGTCGTACTGAAATGTATATAAAGCGTTGCCAGATTAAGATGAAATGTAATTAACAGCCAATTCGCTTAAACAAAGCGTCCAAAATATGGGGCGGGGGAATAAAAACCAAACTATGCCTAAAAGGGCGAGTTTTTTATAATGAATATATAAACAAGTAAAAAAGCAGCCAAGCCGAACTTTTAATACCTTTCAACATTTTGAAGGATCTTGAATAATTTCAAAATAATCCGTCGAAAAAGACCACTTAAATGAAAATCTTTTATATGGGGGCTGGCTATACGAAGACGTGGAACTGCATAAGTAATTTTTTGTCATGGGCTGTAGTACCGATTCCGAACTTCAAATATGAAATTTAAAACAATTTCTTTGAATAATGTCGCCAATATCATCAAATTTGAAACAATTCCGGTGAATAATGTTGATAATATCATCAAAATACCGGATAAAGGGAGGTACCGTTATACGTGGGTCACACAATTGTCTGGCATAGGTTGTAGCACGTATTACGAGCTTTAAACTTTAAATACGAAATTTGAAACAAATCTGGTCAAAAGTGTGACTAAAATAATCAAAATACCGAATATCGGGAGTTACCCTAGTATGCGGGATATACGATATCGCGGACCTATATTGACAATTCTCTTCCAGGGAGTGAAATAGCCAGAAGGAACTCCTTGTGTGGAATTTCAGACAATTCCCTTGAAAGATTTGGCCACAATCATCAAAATACCGAATATAGGGAAGTATCGTTATATGGAGGATATAAGATATCGTGGAATTGTATAGACAATTCTCTACCACGGGGTTAAGTACTCAAAATCAAATCCTGGTGTAGATTTTGAGACGATTCCATTAAAAACTGTGGCTAAAGTCATCAAAATATCGAATATCGGAAGTTACCGTTATATGGGAGATATACGATATAGTGGACATATACAGGGTGAGATTAAAAAAGTGCAATCAACTTCAGACTGCTGTCATTTCCAAGCCACTTGTCCGACAGCTGTTAAAATTATTCCAGTGACAGCTCATTATATTACTTACAAGCGTACAAAAGCATTTTGGTGAGATTTTTCCAGAAAAAATTTATTCGTGATGGAATTCAAGCGTGATAGTGTGATTCCTATATATTTGGCTGGAAAACCACAAGTGGCTATCGTTAGAGCAATCCAGCATTTAAATGTGAATAAATCTATTGTGTCTCGTGCCATCGCTCGTTACCGTGATACTGATACTGGTAGCGTAGCCCGACGTCAAGGAAGTGGACGGAAGAAAACAGCAACATCAGCAGAAATGGTTCGAAAAGTAAAGAAGCGACTTGATCGACACCCGCGTCACAGTGGCCGAAAAATGGCTCGTGAGCTGAACATATCGCAATAGTCCATTCGGCAAATATTAAAAAATGAGCTCGGGGTAAGCCATTGAAATTCCAAAAAGGGCAAGAACTGACACCGCAACAGGAAGAAAAAAGACTCAAAAGAGCTAAAATGTTGGTTCGCTTGGCCGAAAGTGGTGAACGGCCGAATTTGGTTTTCTTCGATGAGAAAGCATTCGTTGTCTCTTCATTTCCAGCGCACAATGAACACCAAAATCTCCGGGTACCAACGTGTTGAACTATTGTGCCTGGAGTATTTTGGAAAGCAAGGTTGGCACTAAAAAATAATGTCGATCACATCAAGCAAGCGCTTCGCCGGAAAGGGCCAAAATACCCCAGAGCAACACTCTGTCAATGTGTGACGGTTTCATTGGCCGTTTGAAGGCCATAATTCGTGCTAAAGGTGACCAATTCGAACAAATCTAAACTTATTCTAAAATTTGATGCTATTTCCGACATTTTTTGCTTTCATTCAAAAAAAAAAATTAAAAAAATGTAAAAATTGTGGAGTTTGACTTTGTTCCAGTTTTCTTATCTCACCCTGTAAGAGTTGTCATTTTAAAAGTTTTGAGTAAAAGGCCTTATAACAACATTTGAAAACCTAACTAGCCAAATTGGGTAGAGAATACTTTCATAGGCAGGCTACATTTTAGTAAAGCGAATAGAGGGCGAATCAGGTACAATGTGAACATGGTATTATGCAATTTCCCATTATGCGTTTTATCTGGTAA